CTCACGTCGCAAAAGTGGTCAAAAAGTACCTGGAAACACTGAAATGGGAAGTCTTACCCCACCTGCCGTATTCTCCAGATGTCGCCCCTTCTGACTACCACCTATTGCGTTCGATGGCACACGGCCTGTCAGATCAACATTTTCAATCCTTCGAAGAATTGGAAAAATGGATTGCTTCATGGATAGCGTCAAAAGAGGACTCCTTTTTTCGAGCCGGGATCCGAAAATTGCCGGAAAGATGGGAGAAAGTTGCGCTAGAGAAGGACAATACTTTGAATAATATATCTGTAAGCACTTTTTCGCTAAAAAGCTTTTAATTTTGGAAAAAACGGCGGAAGCAAAGTTGTACACCTGATATTTTTGGTGAAACTACTTAATTCGATATGCTTTCAAGGATTAGGACATGTTGGTTTGCCAAGAGTTCAAACCGGTTTGGTAAGACAGCTGAGCACTGACAGATAAAACGGGCAATTGTCTTCTTATATCAGTCAAATTCAAGTTACATAAGAAATAAATGCTGCCTTCGTCTTTTCAACAATCTCTAAATTTATCAAATTTATTCAAAATTTATTCAATTTATTGCAAACTGCAATTTTGATTATTTTTGGTCTCCATATTCATTTGAATTTGAGTTTGAAGAATACCAAATGTTACGCTTTTGGATGCTTTTTTACGTACTTTCGTCTCAGGCTCTCATCGGGGCTAAATGATAACGTTCTTCGATTTCGATGATTTTCAATGTCAATATTTACTTTTGGGTAGAACACCATACCCACGCTCATACATAACTGTTTTTTTGACGGGTTTATAACCACAAATCTCAAATCTGAAAAATCAGTCGTTTATATGCTATATATATATAAAACATCCATTAAATGTATCGCTGCATATGTATACGAAATTCAGTAAAATTATCTCCACAATTGAGGGAGTAGTTTGCTTAAAAATATACGCACAGACGTACATGTCTAAAGCAACTCAATTCTGCCCAGTCAGAACTCCCACACTGACTATGACAATCTAGATCCTGGGGTAATATGTAGAGCTCTTTGTTATGTAACGTGCTCAGTGACTCATAGTTAGTATAAATACGACATTTCATTGTTATCAGCCTAATAGTCTTAGAACTATCGTCAACCAAGCAACATAATCGGGAACGAGAAGTGAAATATGCCAAAAATCAAATATTGAGCCTTTTTGAAAGTTCTCTACCAGGCAATGAAATTCATTTGAGATCACAATCCTGTCTGGAAAAACCTAAGATCTACAAGTGGCACAGTTCATTTAAACAAGGAAGTGAATTTCTTGAAAACAAACTGAAGGCCGGCCAGGAGCGTCGAAGTGATATCGACAGAATTTATCCAAAAAGTTGAAAAAATTGTTCTCAACGATGCTCGGGAAGAAACAAATAGCCGAAATGTTTGGTGTATTCGGCACAGCCACTTAATATTTCCTGCACGATCATCATGACATAGCTAAGGTCGGCACAAGATGGGTGCCTAGAATGCTCACACCACCGCAAAAACAACAGCGCGTCCAATCTGTAAGAAAAAGAATGATGATGTGCTGAGTCGAATTGTTACTAAAGACGAAACTTGGGTTTATTATTTTGGACCTGAGTCGAAACAACACGCCATGCAGTAGCATAAAAAGTGTACAGTAATTCCCAAGAAGTTTAAATTGTCACAGTCAGCTCGGTAACTCGTGGCAAAGGGGATTTTGCACCTCGAAAGAAGTATTACTGAGCGGTTGTATGGATAAAGATGTTTTTATAACTCGAGAATACCACGATTTCATATTAGGGTAACTAGAATAAGCCATTAAAAAGACAAGGTTGAGAAAATTAACGAAAGGTGTGCTGCCTTTGCACGACAACAAGTCCGGTTGCGTTGGCTGCCCTGCATAAAGTGGACTTTGATATTCTAAATCACTCACCCCACATACCAGATCTGACCCCGAATGGCTATTATCTGTTTATAGAAATGAAAAAAAAAAAGAATTGAGTTGTAAAAAATGTAACACCGTTGATGGAGTCAAGAGGTAGCCACGCCATATTTTGATAGATGGAAAGAAAATATTTTTGTGAAGGTAAAAATAAATTAATTGAAGATCTGAAAAATGTAACTGTGTCGCAGGGGAATATCTTGAAAAGTAAAAATAATTTGTGTTTTATTATTTCCATCATTTATTCTACATTGCGTGCCCATCGAAACGCTTCCTTCCACCTAACTTCCTTTCAGCAATATTCAGTTTTGTGGTTCAACTTACTGAATGCCTTTAACTCCTGCATATCTTATGTATGTATATGTCACTTATATGCACTTACATAGCATTCATACATAACTATTCGTTTATTTTAGATCTAAATAAAAGTCTTTTCCGCTTATTACCCATAATAATGTTTCAAATTAATGTAGTATGGGTTGTGTAGCAGATGCTAATGGCACAAATATCCTGTAGCTCTTCGCAGATTTATATGCATTTTTTAGGTCGATCCCTTTGTTGCTTTATGCTATCATTGTACGTGTGCTTATGAGCCTTTATCTTCCTTTATTTTCCAACAGTTTCTCTTGCTGTTTATGTTACTCACCTTGACAGATGTCGAAGATAATGTGCGATTTACGTGTCGCTGAATTGAATTGTGTTGAGATTTGGAAAATATTTGCAAGCACATGTTGTAAGGGTTCAAGGGTTCTTGTGTTTGATTTAAGATATACATGCACACATGTGTATGTGCATATAAATAAAATAATATTAAATAAAATGAGAATAAGACTCAATTAATTACATTTATTAAGGACATTTTCTCTTATGTCATTTGTAAATTTATCTTCTCAGGAAAACTTCTAATGTCATAATATGATGCTAGCAGCGGTCAAGGTCAAGACGGTACACTTCAAAAACGTATTATGTAAGAACGGGTCTAAACAGTAGTTGCTGAAGAAACAAAATTTTTGGTAAAAAGTGAAAATTCATCAGACGTTTGGAATGAAGTCTGTATTTAATGGGCAAGGCGGGCAGTCAGGTAGAAGATGGAAGACCTTTTCTTGCTCTTCATCGTTCTTAGAGCTGTTACAGTATCTTCTAAAAGCAACTCTTAGCCTCGACGCGGCTCGTTCTATGAACCAGTGAGCTGTTAAGTCCCCAGAATCTTAGAAATATTCTCTCTTTTAAGGGAGTATATTTTGTCCTTTTCCAGTTACATTTCGACTAAGAAAGACAAACAAAAGAGAATTTCGTCAAGAAAAAGAATTTCATCTGAAAGTTGAAATGTAGTTTTCGGCCTTCGTATTGGCTGAAAGTTTAATCTGAAATTCGCTGTAATAATGGGGTAACCTAAAAGAGAGCTCAAAATTGGGTATCCTGAGAAGACGCCAACTCTTCCTACAAGTTTCGATCCATCAGCATATATTTCATTACTGTTGATTGGGGTATCGAATATTAAAGCGCCATACCACACTTTCAGGGGTATACTTTATATAATTGTTGCTAGCAAAAGGAGTAGCTGAGTTGGAGCCTCGAATTTGTTTCCACTAATTTAGCTCTCTTGGGCGAAGCCTCCTTATGCTTACCCTCGTTCGTCGCCCTGTTCCATGCATGCCACCCTATAGCCAGCTCATAAAAAGTGTTTGTTAGCACGACAGATGTTAAGATCCAGCCATAAGGTCTGTCAATGGGTTTTACATCTATAGAGGGCGATGGTCAACTCAATTGAAAGTTGGCGGATTTATTGTAGATACTTTTTAACTCTTAGTGAATAGGACAAGTTCCCCCTTATTTGAGTTGATGAAAAGTCCCCAACAGTTAGACAGGTTAGATAATTTCCCAAGAGTCCTCTGTAACATCGGCGGATGCAATGATTCCAGCTCCTACCCAGCCAGTCAATGCCAAAAGCAAAAGATTCCAAAACATGAGAGATAGGTCGTCAACCTCAAGGCGTCCCTTTGCTTATGTAAATGGATAGCTGATGTCCGCTCAGGCTCATGGAGGCACAGGAGTACCTGTTTATGAATTCATAGACATTCTAAGTTACATTTGAAGACATTCGGTAAGTTGTTGTTGATAGCTCTCACAGACATTGAGTCCAAGAAGGCAATAGGTCAAGATACAACTTCGTTGAGAACATTAAAATCATTATAAGAGATTAAAACATACGTGTATGCAAACACATATAACAGCACAAGCTCAAACACAAAAACAAAGAGGTGAGAAACTACCGCAAGAATACGATTTTAATGTCTGAAACTTTATTACGTTGACATCACAAAGTAATTCTTAAAATACCTTACTTATTGAAGACCTACCCACCTGTCGAGAACAAAGAAAAGTGAAAGCCCACCCATTTTGCTGGGGTTATGTTCAAAACACAGTAGGCAGTTGTGGTATTATTGTTGTAAGCGACTAAAATCATTAGAGAGGATATTGGGTTCAAGCAAGAACAGCAACAACAAAGCCAAAAGACACAGTAAAAGGAAGCAAAACTTCAGTTTTGCCAACTTAATTACGTAGCTGAGTTGCAAATGAGCAAGACGACAAGACATTAATCTTATTCTAACCTCAATTAACTATGTATTGTGTACGTGAGTGCGGAAGCTTAGTAATTCCCATTGTTGTGCTACTCTAACAGCAATTACACTATACGTTTCCTAGGCGCACTCAGAAGAGGGAATTGGATTTCGTTGGAAAAGTGTGAAAAAGGTTTTACAAAAGATGCGTTAAAGAATGTAAAGAATGAAACATTAATTTCGTGTGGCGTGTGAATTTTAACTCAGTTATTTGTTGTCATACATACATATGTACATATGGATGTATGCATACTGTTGTAGTTCAAGAAAATCATGAGATGTAAAAATTTAAATTAAAGGATAAAAATATTGCAATTATTTAAAAAGAATATAACAAAAACTGATGCACTAAAATATGCTAACTAATTAAGCGTATAATAAATAAATAATAAATAAATAAATAAAAATAAGCAAACAGAAAAATTCAAAACTTACGTTGCTTCAGTGAGGAATTGATCAACAATGGTTGGACCGCTAAGGGAAAATAAAAAATATAATAATGATAAATGACAACTATTAAAGAAAATTATATAAAAAAGCTAATAAATCAAAAAATTTAAGTAATAAAAAGTCTAAAGATGAAACAAACGAAACTAATTTATCAACTTTGGTTTTATTTACTAAAAATAAAATTAAATCAAATTAAGCAGGAAAAAAAAGAGATTAAATATTAATTAATTCACATCATATATACTACATAAATTAATTAATTAAAAAAAATTAAAATAATATAATTTAATAAAAATAACAGCATAAAAAATAAATAAAACAAAAAGAGGAATTCAAACGAGTTTAAGGAAAATAAAATCATATAAAATTCAAAATATATTTTAAATAAAAAAATATTCAAAATTAAATAAAAGAAAATAAGGCAAAATCATATATAGAAAAAATTGTTTATAGCATGGCTGCAAAAATAATTATGAAAAAATATTAAATTAAAGTAAATTATAAATAAGCTAAATAATAATATCATATATTTTACATACAAAATAAATAAAATGAAATTAAGGGAAATAGCACAATAAAAAATAAAAATTAAATGAAATAAAAAAGTAAAAAAGATATTAAAAAATAAACGAAAAAAATAAAATGAAACACAAAAATAAACAAGTAGAACAACATTAAATCAAAATAAAATGAAATTACGTAAAATAATACAATAAAATAATATAAAATCAAACAAACTAAAATGAAACATAAAATAAATAAAATAAAGCAAAAAATAAAATGAGTTAAAAAATCGGAAAAATGAAGTGAAACAAATTAAAATATAGTACATTAAAAGAATTAAGTAAAAGAAAAGCAAAAAATAAAATAAAATAAAAGAAATAATATCATATAATACAAAATCAAATAAATTTAAATAAAACAAAGCAAATTTAAATAAAAAATAAAGTTAAGCTTAAATAAAAATCATATATATAAAGTAAAATAAAATTAAAAATAAAATAAACCAAAAATAAAAAATATATAATGAAGAAAATAAAATGAGACAAAGGTGAATAGAATAATAAATAAATAAAATAAAATAAACTAAAGTAATAAAAAATAAAATAAAATAATTTAAAGTAAAATAAAATAAATAAAATAAATAAAATAAAATAAATAAAATAAGAAAAGAAAATGCAATGAACAAAATAAAATAAAATAAATTAAATTAAATTAAAATAAAATAAAATAAATTAAAATAAATAAAATAAGAAAAGGAAATGCAATGAACAAAATAAAATAAAATAAAATAAAATAAAACAAAATAAAATAAAATAAAATAAAATAAATAAAATAAGAAAACAAAATGCAATGAACAAAATAAAATAAAATAAAATAAAATAAAAAAAATAAAATAAAATAAAACAGAATAAAACTAAACAAAATAAAATAAAGTAAAACAAAATTTAAAAAAAAGAAAAAAAATCATTCAATTTATATTTTTACTGTTGCATATACGAGAATGTAGTTAAGTGGCTGCCTAGGCAAGGACATACGGTAGTGGTTCACCTATAAATCGATATAATGAAAATGTTTTTGTAGGAAGTAAATTAATAATAATTGTAATGGTGTCAGATATTTCAATTTTTTCTTCGAATATTTCTTGTGAAAAAATATTTGACACCGACTTGCCAAGAGTGAACATTTATCGCAGGAAGTACCTGATTGTCTGCTAATTTATTATTATTATTTTTAATTCTCAGTCGTTACAGTTTGCTTATGTACACAATTATATAACGCTGCTTTCAAACATTTACACCTACATACGTGTATACATAGCTTGGATGGAAGATGGCACACAATTACTCACCTGAAATTAAAAGAAAAGAAGTAATATTTAGTAAAAAGCCACGTGCCAAGTAAGGCAGCTATATNATATATGATAAGTAAATGAATAACACATAAATCTACTTTATATAATGACAAACGTTAGTTTTTGCACTCACTTTAGGGTTCCATATGAACGCTCATAAGGCGTACAATAAATGCCGCTGGCAAGGACAAAGTAATATGCAATGTGCTAACAGTCTGTTTGTATGTACATAAATATGTTTACGTGAATTATAAAAAGCCACGTGCCAAGTAAGGCAGCTATAAACAAACTAGATAAATACTCATTTATTTATTTATTTATTTATTTATTTATTTGTGCACTTCTGACACTTGGTGCAAATAACTAGGGCAACGGAACTAAGAAAATAAATAAATAACTTGTTAGACAACTACAATTATACTCCATAAATATATGTATGTAAGTATACTCGTACTAGGGTGCTTTAAAGAAAATTCGCAGTAGCATATAACTGGTCTGAATAGGAAAAACCAAGATTCCTCGTTGAGAGCTTAAAATGAATCAGACTCATTCATTCTTTCATTCATTCTTCAATATTGAGTACATACGAAGGTTAAGTCTGCGCCAACCGTCACAAGGGTAAATAGTGAAATTAAAAGATTGCTCTGGCCGTGTGAGAAACTGAGTCCCAAAAGACCGTCGCCAAGAGTTCCCCAGCTGACTGTAATAACTTTTTATGCCACCGCATGAGTCTTGTTTCGACGCAATTTTATAATGATGAATTTACGAGGGGTGACAATTAAGTAATTAGACTGTTTCCATAAAATCCATATATTTAAAAATTTTTTCTACAATTCGGCCATCCCTTCAAAGTGGTCCCCTTGGGCAGCTATACGACGATTCTGGCGCGTTTTCCATGCTTCGTAACATTTCTGGAACGCTTCGACTGGATTGTCTGGGAGTACCCTCGCCACGTTCGCCTGTATGTCCTCAATCGACTCATAATGTGCTCCATTGACCACCGATTTCGATCTAGGGAGCAACACGGCAATCACTTTAGAGGTCAAATACTTTGACACGCTGAGGGCGGTTGTCGTGATGAAGTATCCAGTTACGAGCAATCTCTGAGCGCACGCTGTTGACTCGTTTTCGCAATCTTTCGAGTACTTGGTTCATACCCAGTTTCGACGCCAACATGTTAAACGTCGATCTTCACGGATTAGAGCGCCCACACGCCGCGCATTCGTGTCACTCCGCACCTCGACTGGTCTACCGATCAACCCCTCGCCTTTCACGCTTTCACTACCCTCTTTAAACTCTTCATGCCATTTTAGCGTACGATTCCGAAGCTGTTTCGCCCAATTTGATTTAGAGTTTCCATTTTCGTGACAGGTATCACGAACACACGTTTACTCAACACGACAGAGCTGGCGAAATAAATAATAAACAAAGCGATGGCAAATATATCAATGGAGAGGGGAAGGATGCCGGGAGAAGTTCCATAACCATTATCCGCTCCCACCTTGCGCTAATCTTAGTCATGCCTAGATGATCGTGCTGGATTTTAAAAATAGTTGCTTTGTTTACTATTTCTACTAGTTGTTTCTTCTGTAGAATGATATTCGATTTTTTACATATATGTTCCTTGGTTGACGATAGCACAAAAACAATGAAACCTTGTATTTATACAAGTCAATGAGCCTATTCTCCCCTCTGCAATGCTCTCAAACCGCGAGTATAAAATCGCTCGTACTTCTGTGAAAGTCTGTCGAGTATCTAATCGCAGTTCCACTTGAACTTCGTTGCTAAAGTTTGCGTACAACGTTTTGAACCGTTTTTTCGAATGGAATTTCGTTAAAAGACCTTTCAAAGATTTTAGTGTTAATACACAAAAGAGACTGAGTGACGCCCAACTTAATGTGCGTGTCACTTGGCAGCTGCTGTTGACCAAGTTTGTTAACCCCGATTTGCAAACATGTCAGTCAATTAATTTGGGCACAAGTCACATAGGGATAAGCATACATATGCACATACATACATATATTCGTACATAATAATCCTGCTTAGTAAACCCAATATGGAATAAGCTTCTCTGTGGTGGTTGCAGACGAAAGCGAGGCAAGGAAAAATCGTTTAGTTTTCGAATCATGCCATGGGCTATTTAATTGCATGCACGGATTTAGAGGTCAAAACTTGGCATTTATGTATTTACATAACGGTACATACATATGTATTATATGTAAATGCAAAAGTGTTTTGGGAGTGCTGATAGACAGTGGAATAAGCATATTGCAATTGGAATTACCACCACCACCACCACATTTACATTCCAGCAGGAGGTGAGAAAATCGAAGAGCCTTGACCCAAACTCTATTCGAAATCAGAGTTACCGTTAGGCAAATGCAATAGGAAGGTTATTGAAAGTCTAAGCATATACACGTATATGAGTATACGAGTACGAGTATGTATGTATGTTCACATTTATGTACACATATTGTATTACCATTTGCAGCGAAGAAATACATGGCAAGTGATTGTGCTCAGACTAAGGCAAATAATAGCAGCAAAATGAGAAGCGTCCAGCTCTAAGCGATGCCCGGGATTATTGGGATTGTAAAACGAATGCGCACCGTAGGAGGCAAGTTAATATGCTTAGAGGACAAAACAAACACTTGCAATATTTGCTGAAGTGCGTTGGTCGACGTCGCCCAACATTGTCTTCTTGTCGTTTTTCGCTGTAATTGGCAACAACAAATGGCTGCCACAGGAGGTAGCGTAGTACTAGAAGAAAAGGCAGATTGAAAATCTGTATAAAAAAGTCTTCTCAAATGAACAGAGTCTATTCGCCGTTGTCGTTTGCTTTGTTGGCAAAGCACAACAAGTTCATCCAAAGCAAGGATTATGTTAAGAACAAAGGGCTGTGACGATTGTATGGCTTGAGGTCTGCAGGACAGCAGTATGCTTGAGTGGTGGTGGCGTTGCGTAATGCACGAGCTTATACATACAATTGTATATTTGTTTATAAATGTCACAAAGTTGACAGTTTTGTACAGATTGCGACCTTACAATTAAATTTTTATTAACAAACTTTGAAAATTACGTATGCGAACTTTGTGAACCCAACCGAAAGTTTTGAACTGTGCCACCTTAACAGTTATTTTGTTCTATTAGTATGGCAAGGCAATGTTAC